GCAGTCAACAAAGCTGATGTTGGTCAGAATAGTGAGTGTCATCATGTAGCTGCTGTAAAGACATTTTACACATCAGTGCTGCCAGAGAACACGCTGAAATTTGATGCGTTGTCAACGCGTGGCGTGAGCCGCTAAGCGTTTCTTTATGTCGTCAACGTTTTTAGACACCAGATTGAAGAAGGTCTGCGGCTTCTGAAAGACGTGACTCCAGCAGGTGAAACGTATATGCACAAGGGAATCGAACAGGTTCGTTTTCTCTCCTTTTACTTTGTAAAGTAATCGTAAAACACAAATCTGATCAAATGCTCGTCACCAATCTGGTCCTGCAGGCCAACGAGCAGATAAAGCAACAGTCGGTCAAGTCCTCCAGCATCATCCTGGCTCTGACAGACGGGAAGCTTGCAGTTTATGTTCACGAACTGACTGTAAAGCAGGTGATTTTCATTCTGACCACAGCTCTAAATGTAGCTTGTCTCCCCCCCCTTCCCTTGCTTTCTTACCTCAGCGTAGTTTAAAATTAAACTCTGCATTTTTCCTCATTCAGAAAATAAAACCCTTTTTTTTTAACTTATTCATCTGCAGAAGTATCTGTTCATCTGTTTATTTGCACTCTGTTTTTCTTTTTTGAAATTTCAACCTGTTGCACATCATCCACGCATTTATTTGAACTGCAGGCTCACGAAGCGAGGAAATATGGCGCTCGTGTTTACTGTGTGGGTATCAAAGACTTTGATGAGCAGCAGGTAAGAGGGCTTTAGTCTTAATCTAAACATAAGACGAGTCTGTCGCTGAATGTGTGCTCAGTGATTCCGGTTCTGGTGTAAGACACATTGGTGTGTTGGAAGAGTGTCAGGAAAAGGTAAACATCATCAGTGCTTTTACCTGTGCGGAAAAACCAAGTGAAGTAGTAGGACACGTAAACATGTTCTCGCTGTCAAACTTTCACCTTTTAAAGGCTTGAAGGTGGCTGAAAAAATAATAATAATTTACATTAAAGCAGAGAACAGAGTCTTCGTGACCTAAAGCTCGAGTTCATGCCAGGAACTCCGGATGTACAGTTGAGGGAACATATGAAGTCTTTGGAATTTCCAGGATTTCTGCATCGATTACTCTTAAAATGTTGTTGATTCTTCTTCTGTTATTATAGACAAACACCAGCTGAAAATACTTCTAACATGTAAATAGTTGTGCTTTCTGAATGCTTCGTATAACTACTTGATGGTGTGGAGGAGCTTTGGACATATTTCTGGGATGTCTTCATCCCTGTCAGCTCGATCAAATTGTAAATTCAGTGTTTACGCATCGATTCCAAGGAGCAGGAGGACGCAGCAAAACCAAACCATGATGCTGCCTCTGTCATGCAGAGCGCATTTCCTTTAGTCCTCCACTGTACAGCCTTTTACAGGAAAGCCCAGCTTTAGTCTCATTTGTTGAAACTTGAGATGCTGCAGTATTTATTTGCAAAGCTTCCTTTGGTCTGTGTCAGTTACTGCAGACACGACCCCTCGGTTCCTTTCGCTTCTTCATGACTGAGCTTATAGTGTTTGGTTTGTTCAGGATCGCCACCGCTAACAGCAGCAGCGTCACTGGATTTCTTCCATTTGTAGACACTTTATGTTTGTATTAATAAACACTCGCTTCATTAGAAATTCCTCTGT